GAAAATACGTATTGCGATATCCACAGCTATTTGCATGATTTTTACAGCGTTCGATATTCTCGTCAAATACTCTCATTCTTGAAGTACCTTCAAGGATAGACTCGATAGCGCGAATCGCCTCATCGCGTGAATGCCTTTTATGCGTGGATTTGTCTAATTTTCTAAGAACGCTCTCATGTAGACAGCCGTATGGCGAATAATGCCCTGCAGGCAGAGTCGTGATCCATTGTTTGAATCCTTAGAAAGCTGGCTACAAGGATTCCATCGAACGAACTAAGCCCTAATGCTCAGCTCTGTTCCAGCTGCAAACGAGTAAATATTGAAGTATAACTTTTAGGAAGTGTATATGTTCTATATGTTTTTACAATTGTAGAAATGAATTCTACATGTCAAAGAAATTAATTTAGGGTATAATCTTGATGTACCCATAACATTGATGCAAGGAGAACTTGCCTCTTTTGCTACCACGTTTCAAAAATTTGAAATAGAGGACGTGAATACGTGTTCTGCTTTTTTTCTCAACACACTATATAGTCTAGTACGCGACCTGCGTTGGATTACTGGCAGTGGGTTGGCTAAATATAGCCGCTATCTCGGAACAGCGTTAAAATATACATTAAGCTAGATAGCCCGTTAGTGTTTTTCCTGAATATCGTTAGGTAATAGCTGGGGTGCGTATCGAGGCTACTTTTGAAATATAGTACAACGCTTAGATTATTTTTAGAGAATCTAGAAAAGTAGAGTACCGCATGAATATGCACGCGTCCAAAAATCGCCGAAACTTTCGCACGTTACATGGTGCGTGAATCTGATGAATCGCGCGGCGCTCGTTCGCGTTTCACGACGGCGAGCAACTTCTTCGACGGTTCGATCCGACTGCTGCGAACGGTCGTAACCTTAAAAGTCTGGAAAAATATCGTCGGATACAGCGTCGAGAACGTGCGAGCGGCTGTTCCTCCTCTATGGAAATAAATCAAACGTATAAAAGGAACGGGATTTAAGAGAGCCGTGAATTTGGACCTGGTTACCTTTCGGGTAACGGCTATCAGCCGACGGTGCTTTGAAGATTTACCGAGCGCGATAGGAAAAAAGAGGGCAAAGCGACACGGCACGCAATTTTTAAGGTTGGTCTTTGGTCTGTTCTCCTAGAAATAGGCGAAAAGGAAGTTTAGCCCTCGAGTTACGCGAAAGTTTATTACGTTAAGTCACTGGAGATGTAAGCTTCGCGCGATGCTTGCTTAGAATAAAGCTGCGAGCAATGCTGATAGCGATGCTTCATTACTGGGGGGTTTTAAAGAAATTGGAAAAGTTCTGCGCCGGTTCTTTAATGGGCGGGCTGTCATGAGAAGGAAACTTTGTTTCTAACGTGAATACTAAAACTGTTGGGCGGGGCAAATGGCGTTAACTGTGCGGCGATAAAATTGTAGTATTATAATGAAAAAGTGTTTTAATGGAAAAAGTAACTGTTGATTCTTTCCGTTGCGTAATAAAAATAAAAGTGCCCAGAGGAATATCGTTCTGGTGGCTTAACTCTCGTTAATTTTCTTGGTTGTCTGCAAAATTTCGATCTTATTTCATGAAAGTGCAGGTATAATTATTGATCTAAATACAGGAACTTCAACGTCCATTTAATTAATATTTAAAAACATTACCCAAATAAACGTGCATACTGTCTACTCAGGGAATCTACAACAGAAAGAGGTTCTCCAATTTTCATTTTTAGACACAAATCTGAAACCTGATTAAAAGTCAAAATTTTCATCGTTGACGCGCCTGCCACCCTTCCTCCCACAAAATAAAAGGCATTCATACTCGGAACAATAAGAATATTAATTAAGCTAGGCTGCCCACTCAGCCCAGCCATGGTGGTAGCGACGATGAAAGCAACTTGATTCCGTGGCCCTGCTCGAAAACAAATCCATCAATTCACAATAAAAGCATTCGGTCGCAGGTCGAAGCTTAATCTCCCTCTCAAGATTCCCTTCGCTTTTCAACGCTCATTGTTACCCACGCCAAAATCCCCCGGTATTCTGATCGTCGGTCTCTCCATTATCCACGTTTCGTTTAACCTCCTTCGATGCGCCCTTCCGCTCCGATATCTTCGTTCGTCTCTAATTCTCCGTCTCACGAGGATGACGACGTCGCGATCGTCGAGGGTGAGAGAGCAAACAACCGAGCGTCGGATCTCGCAACTCTAGATATATACATACATATATATTCCATCAACAACCGTAGCTCGTTATCGACACGCTTGTTTAGCATGCATCCTGTGCCTCGTCACCGGAACACCGCCGACAAACAACAGCTTCCAGATATCGTCCACATATACGCGGAATCAGATGGGCGAGTTTTGCATCGATACCAGTGACTCGGTGGACGAGATATGGTGTGAAAGAGCTCAGTGTGGAGTGCAGATGGTTCCAGATTAGTTCCTCTATCCGAAATGCGTGTACTGGTACTCGATATTTTGCGTAAGCTCGAGGATGAAGGGATGCAAACAACCGAGTAGAGATCCAGATTACTGTAGTTCAGAGCGCAAAGTGTACCGAGGCTTGATGCCTATAACCATTGGGGATCCGTGGACCACTGAACTGGGGCAATCCACATCCTGGCGACCTGTTACCACGGGAACGATGATCGAAATAACCAACCCTTTCTTTGTCATTCGATTCAACTACACGGACTCCTACAATATTGATTCATCGAGGTAGGTAATGAAAGGCCATGCTGTAACCTCAGTTTCCAGCATTGTTGGGACTTTTTCTCTTGTTCACTTTATTAGTGATGATGTTATGCATACGTTGGTCCCGAAGTCTTCATATTCTTGCTTTTTGTTCTCCTCTGGAGAATAAATCTCCAAGGGCACTCAAGATGGAGGTCCGTTTGCTCGATTATGATTTCTTTAGGCATAATCTGGTATAGCCTTTTGAGTGCCAAAGGAAATTTTCATACATGCCACTCAAAGGGTTAAGACTAGGTCTAGACGCCTCATACGACCGCGTTTAGAGTATCATCAGCCGGAAATCTAGATATGTAAGTAGTTTATGTTCCACATACGAGTCGCCCGGGCAGGTGGGCAATATATGGTGGGAAAGAGACCAACGTGGACGCACGCCGGTGAGTGTGCATGCTTGCTCTATCCTATCCGCTGCATCGGAATGCGTAGCCGGTACTCAATATTCCGCTTAGCTTTCGTTCCTTCTTCTTTCCACCCGTGGGTTTAAGGAGGAGCGAATAAAAACAAGCGAGAGGAAGAGAGGCGACGAGAGAAACCAGGTTGACGGAGCCGCTTGCACTTGCTGGAGAAGACGCCGTTGGTGGAGACGTACCGGTACGTGCATGTGGAAGACAAACGAGCGAGAAGAAGAGGGTTGCGGTGAGATGGAGGAGGACGAGTTTCTGGTGGAACCCCCAGGGACGATGGAGAACCTTGTCGGGCCCATGTCCGACGAGATCCAGTGGCGAGGAGAACGTTTTCAGTGGCAAATACAGGCAAGTGTGAGCCATGATTTTTCTTTGACGATTTGTGCTTGTATGTGCTTTTACGTGCTTATCGTGGATATTAATATGTACTAGTGCAGCCTACACACTCTCCGTACCTGAACATTGTAACATTGCAAAATGGAGTAAATGTGTCCTTTTTAGATTTTTCAATTACACTACTTGAAATTTATACCTGGCAATACTGAAAAAGTAGACTGCAGACACGGATATAGTCTCAGCACGTAATAAAAATTGGATGAAATATGCTTCCTGCGGAAGGAGGGTGCGATACCGCAGTGGACATGTTAAACAATTTGTCTTGACCCTTGTAGGCTTATGTACGAGTAAAAATAGCATATAAGTAGATCTTTTAGCAGCGGTAATTCAAGCGTAAGGGGTGAAACGACCCTCCGAAGTTCGACCCCTAGAGTGCTAATTTAGAAACGGTTAGAGATAGAATGTTTTAACAAATATTGAATGGTCTTTGACATGCTACCACACTTGTTAACAAAGAGTCAAACTTGGGGAGTCTCGCTAGGAAGTCTCTATTTATTATCTACGACTATTCTACGAGCTTGTAGACTTTCATTCAAATTGGAGCAGGAAACGGAACTCCCTTTCTTGTAGACAACATGTTAACAATGCATTATGGAAATTTGTAATGGTAATGAGGAGGTATTCGAGGCAACGCTGTAGTGCCAATTGTACGAATGGAATATTGTCCTTTACTCCAAAAAAAAAAAAAAAAAAAAAAAAATATGAAAACGTTCATAAGTTACATTTCGTTAATTTACTTTTTAATTTAATTTTATAGCATAAATGATAAACTGATAAAGAGGATTTGGAATCAAATGAAATTTTAAAAAATTCTGTGCAACTGGACTAGTACAATTGTGTTATAAAATAATTTTTTGTTTGAGGGGTGGTTCATCAACAATAAAAGTATATTTACAAAATGGATCTCTCCAATGACAAAAAGATACATACTTTCTTTTTTCGATAATTCTAACAACAATAAATGAGTTATTCCAATTGCTCCAAATCTTTCAAATTTTTCCTAACTTCCCAGTACTTTTCTTTTTTACTGCGGCAGTAAAAAAAATCTAAATCCCAGATCAGCTCAACGAAAGAAAGTAACAACAGATTAGGTCATCTTTGGGGACTTAATTGATGTCTAACGGGTACACCCGTGAGATTACGGTTAGACGACACTGGTACCCTCCTCAGCCTTTCACGCTGCCTCATGGGTCTCTCCTTCTGTTCCATGGGACGGATACATAACACAAAAGAGAAAGAGAAGTACACGGGCAAACGGTTGCCGAGTGACTGAACGTCGGCGTCGCTGCGGGTGGCGTGGGATGGTGGGACTACGAGTTTGAGACGGCAGGGGGGTTGTCGATCGAGGAGTGGGGATTGGCGAGGGAACGGCGGCGGGAGGGATGATCGAACGACGGGTGGGGAAGATTGGAGCGGCGTAAACCGTCGGCGGGGCGGACCGAACCGTCAGTCAGCCGTGCTACGCCGTAGGAATGAGATCGGAATGAGAAACAACGTCGCACGATCCGACATTCGCGCGACCACGGTGACACGATTTAAAGACTGCACGCGGCTCGCACCGTACACATTAACGTGTCGCGATTCCATATTCACTTGCGCGGGTGGGTAACCGTGACGTTGAAGTTTGGCGGCACGCGAGAGGCGTGTTTCCCAGGCTGTGCAACTGTGCGGTGCTATTCCCGTTTCTCCATCTTCCGCATTCCTCGCACCGATTGGAGTATCTTTCTCCGTGCACGAGGCGTCGTATCGACGGCGCTACGAAATTATCGCGCCCAGACGGATCTCTTCGCCCTGAAGGAAAAGGCCGACGTAACGGAGCAGAAAACGTGAGTGAAATTCTATTAATAAGTTACTATACGTGCGCGTGCGTGCGAGTCCGAATATACGTGTGTCTTTGCGCGCCCGCGTTTTGTTGTTGATTCCTCGCGACTGTCAAGGCGCGTTTACGCGTGATACCACCTTTCGCTGACGCGTTCGAGGATCCGTTACCTTGGGATGGCCTCCGCAGCGAGTTCCCAGTGACGCTGACTGCCGCGCGAATATCCGTGTTCTCCGTTTCGCTCGTTCGTTCATCTTTTGACTATACGCGAATGCGCCTTGACAGTTTTCGAGCCGAGTAACGCCTGGTCTGGCCGGTGTGTCTGCGACACGGGACGAACGTGTTCTGCCCACGTGCAGTCATGCCTCGTTTACAACCTACCTGCATTCTTTAACGATTCCGCGAAGGGAAGACTTGCTCCGAAACGCTGCTCGAGGATTGGCCATTGTTTTGACCAAGTTAAATGGACGCGGTGCTTAGGCGCGATTTTGCTTCGGACAACTTTCATTTTCGTGATGCTGGTGCACGCTTGTTGGTATATAGAGACTTGTAGAGTCAGTTAGATTGTCGATGTCTATTCATTTATGGCTAATATAAATTTATAGAAATATAAACAGATGTGAGCAAAGGAATAAATGTACGTAAAATAAAACGAACATTACAAAGTAAAGGTCTTCATTTGTGTATATAAAGATCTGAGTTTGCATAAACATCCGCATCTAGTTATGGTACCTATAAGGTGTCTTGGGAGGTACTCGATTAAACCCACGTGTTCGGGAACATATGATGATCATAAAATGTTACGAACACTATAGGGCTATGTAGATGCAGTAGGAAATTACTGGTATTGCTGGTATTACTCACAGTTATTGCTCCAATTGTCGACCTCCCATTTGCGACATGTCACTTGTCTGTGTAATCACTTTTATCGTCGTATTCGAAGCAATGTAGTTTCTATATGATGGCATACTTCGTGAATTTTTATTAATTTCTTATTTTAGTATACATTTTCTAGAAAATAATTCAGTGGAGTTAAATTCTCTAACCTTGAAATTCATGGTGTGCGATATAATATCGGAGCAGTACCTATGAATTTACTACAAACTCAAAAACAAAGTCGAGATAATAAGAAATAACTATTTCAGTCTTTTTTTTTTCAACGCACCATTATTTCGAATTACTCCAATTTGAATGAAAAGCAAGAAGAAAACATTAATTTATGATAAACATCCGTTCGCATAAGTCCATTCTATATAATCACTAACAAAGCTTCCCCAACTTAGAATATCACCCAAGTACAAAGAGTTACAGTCGCCAAGATCCAATATCACGTGACACACTATAAGCTCGCTGATTCACGAATCGATTCCTACCTGGATCGAAGCTGGGTCGAGTTTGTTTTCCTTTCTTACATATTTATGTACTAAAACACGAGTTACCTCGGAATGTCCTCGCGAAGATAAGTATTTGAATGCTCGGTTTGATGCTGTTTTTGTCAAAACTGAGCCCAGCCGAGCGGTCATATCTGACTTGTAAATGACATCGTAACGTTACAGAATAGACGATAAGTTTCTACGGAGTATCAATAATACGAACGAAGCGACGCCGCGCGAGCGAACGGTGTTTCATAGGCGAATCGTTCGATCGACCATTTGTATTTCTTTGTCGAGTGACAACTCTTGAAATTCTCGATCGTGATTGTCGGAATTGCACGTAGAATATCTGGCGTGCTATCCTAACGCGCACTCGAGTCGAACAAGCCGGTTTTCTGCACACCTCGTTCTCTCGTTGCGCGAACCACACTGGCGTGAACTTCATGGCAGTCCGTGACCCCGACTGTTTCCTGTTACGAGAAAGGCTTTTGCGTGGCTCCGTTCGTTGGCATTCCTTTTGTCCGCGTTAATGATCATTGTGTAACCAGAATCATTTCGAAGGAAAAATCAAGCGTGCACGAGACCTCGAAGTACTTGGTTTCGTTTTTCACTGACGTTGACTTTTCGTTTATTCGAATTAACTGAAACAACCGAGGAAACAGAGTTTAATTTTGTTACACCTCCTCTCAAAGTAAAATTTAATTCTTATCTTTATATCAATATATGAGTCGTTCATTGCAGAAATCGATCGACTCCATAAAACGAAAAGTTGGTAAATGCGATGAAATAATCTATATTGTTTTTCAAAATTCCCTTTATAATATAAATTCAAATAAATATTGTATAATGCATAAATACAGATGTAGCTTTCATCTAACGGTATATAAAATTAATAAGAAAAAAGAGCCAACAAATAATCGTGAGTAATGTTACAATTTTTATGTGACTGGTGGAGGTAATCGATTTCTGCAGTGAACGGCTCGTATATGTTTCAACGATTCCCATCTAATTCAACTAGTTCCATCTTTTAATTTGAATAACTCTGTAGTTCTTCATTTTCTATAATCCAAAAATTGAACAACGAAGGAAACCATTTGAGAAGTTGTATCTTTTGGTTGTCGACGAATATTCATCTTACAAAAAACTTGCAAAACCAGCAGACAATGTTAATTCAAACTTCGACGCGCCCCGGAGGTATTCTCAGACCGTGAAAGGTCCAACCTAATTGTTGGTCTCTGCTCATCCAGAGCGGACGCAGCTTATAATTTACATTGTTAGGGACTGGAGGATGGAAAGAAAAATTCTGCACGGTCCAGATCCAGTCGGTCTCCTCTCGAGTCGGAGGGAAACGGTCTAAAACGGTCCTAAACAATTTTTGTGATCTGCAGCTGTGTCCTGGCATCCCTGTCGCGCGTGGAAACGGTGCGTTAAAATGGGTCCTTTTCGGAAGGAATTCGGTTACGCGCCGACCAGGTAGATAGATCTTGGGGGGCAAAGGTCGACGGTTATTACCTGGCTGAGAGGCACGGCCTCATTCGTTTTCATTTGGCCCGTGTGCACGCGTTCCTTTCCGCGAATGAAAAGAGGATTTTCGCTTCCTTTTGTTTCTAAATTGCGCAAGAAGAAAATAAAAGGTCGGTTTGGACAGGCGTTCGTCATTCGTACCAAGGGACGGTGCGTGACGAAGAGAGACAGACCGAGGGAATGGAGAATATAGAAAGGGAGATCCGATGGTCGGCTTAAATTTAATTCACTTCTCTAACTCCATCTCCCTCCTTCGCCACCGTTCCCTCTTATTCTCTCTTTATCAATCGAGCACCGAGTGCGGAAGCGGAGGAGGAATACCGCAGAATGCAATTTCCTCGGGGCACGAAGTAGATGTTCCAGTGGACTGCAATGGTCCAGGCATAGGTCAGCCGATGCGTCCCAGAGTCCTTTTTACAGAGATCTGCTCACCTCGGGTGTCCTTTGAAGCTGAGAACAATGACAGGATGCTTTGTCCGGCCCGCGTTTGATGCGTGGTAATTTTCATAATTCTTGAGAGAAGTCGGACTCGACGATCGCAAGGAAGAGAGATATTAATTTATATTTCTGCAGACTGTCCGTTGAAAACTCGGTAATTCTGCTTCCGGATTCGAGCGGTGGACGGTCTCGATGCCGAAGAAATGCGACTCTTTTTCCAATTTATGGTTAACACGTTGTAACGATTTTATTTGGCGTATCTGAGAATTGAGTTTCACTTGAAAGAAGAGCTTTTTATTATCTTTGAAATTGATAATCGCGCGAAGAGTTAAGTTAAATAGATTTTCTATTAATTATGGACATTTTTATTTTTATTTTCAGTTGAACGTATACGAATCATAATTAGTTTTTATCATGAGGTATTTGGAATAGGTTGACCTGTACTAAATATTACATATCTTTATCAAATAATCAATATTTTTGACATTTCACCAAATTTTAAAACGTTTTAGAGTAACAACGTCACTGAATCAATGTTTTTTTTTTTACGACTCATCGAAGCCTATTTGGTAAAGAGTCGCGCTGAAAAATTGTTTAAACTGGTTCCAGCGTGCTTCGCGTTTCTACATTTACAACAAATCATCGCAATTTACTGGTTCGAATGAATGAATATGTATCGCGAACGCAATTTCACGAGATCCCGGCGCAAACGTCCATCGAATTGTTAACCGCACAAACTGCGGCTTGAAAATGGAATCCTTTTTCATGAAATGTGGCGACCTTTAAAATGCATCGATAATAAGAATCGACAGACGTTTCCATTCTGTTCTTTGAAACCGTAGAAATACAGAGAACATTCTTTTGAATATCGAACACCGAGGGAATCGAAGCTAGAATCGACCGTGCCTGCAAAAAGAATTAGATACGAATATGGTAATAAATTTCGCTAACCGAGTCGAGTTACGATAGCCAGCCAAGTGCATTTCGTAATTTTAACTCTAGTCCAGGTGTGCGTCTGCAAATATCTACTTTAAATATGGATGACACCTAATTGAGAATGAATATTATTTCAAAGATCTATTTATGTAAATCGACCAGAGAATATTCATATAATTTATCTTTTACAACAGAAAATAAATTCATGAATATTATTAAGTATGATACAAAGTTTTAATATCGATGCATAAAAATTTAGTCGATACATTTATACTATTTCCTATAATTACTAAATGTAATCTGTTCTTAATTTTTCACTGAAATTCTACTCCAGGTGTAGATCACCTAACTAGCGGTACTTTATCGTGCCATCTTGAAATAAAAATAAAATAAGAAATGGTAAACGTTTCTTGTAATATTCTAGAGATTTATACCTTCGTTGTTTCAAGTTCATCGATAACGTTTTCCAGTACATATTCATAATCGAGGAAGAAAAACAGATTTCCTTAGCGGAGCTCTTATACGAAGGAAATCAGGTCGCGTTACATACTGAATGCAATTTTCCCGGTATGTCGTGTCACTATTCCGACGGGTACCCATCCTGTTTCTTTCATTTGAAAATCCGACTGGTTCGAGCACACTTCAACTATGAAAAGATGATGCAAGTTGCGTGAACGCAGCTGCTTGAAACGCGGAACCTCGGAACCAATGAAATACCGTGCCTATGTATGTATTATTCAAAACGTACGATATTTTTCATCGTTCTTCGTTATCTCGGAAGACTGTGGCAAATGTATGGACGAATATTCCGCGTGGAACTATTTCAAGCACCAGCCGTTGCGCAGCATAGAAAATGTTGTTTAAATGCGGAAAGTATTCCGGGACCTATCGACGTACAGACGTTTTTGTTAATGGAACAAAATAGCAGGCGAATATTTCGGTTTAGAGTAAAAAATAGTTGAATGTGAAAGCAGAGAATTAATTAATATGTCATTGGTGGTTAATTCTTGGTGTTAGGTCAGTTGTTTGTTTTTCACTCCGTTTGATCCTAAATTTTTTGAATTGTTTGCAGAACCAAGATTGTCTACGGCTGATCAAAGGATGAACTAACTGTTAAATTTCCAAGAGGGACCGAGGAGGGCAGACGCGCGTCATCGCCAAATTTTCCTAGGCGTCCGGGTTCGGGAGGATGCAGCGGTCGATGACGTGAATCGACCGACTATCGGTCGACGAGTACGTGCCTCGTCGTCGGTTGAATGGCTGGCCAAGCACTCGGTTCTCGTTGTCCGAGGACTGTCTTCTCACGGTGCCGGACGAACCACGAATAGGCGTGTTTCCTGTACACCGATCCATACACTCGTCAGCTCGTAGACTGGCCGATTCGTTTTAGCCATCAAATACTGACCCCGTAGTCATTTCGTCGTCTCCGCGGAATTCCCTCCACTATCATCGACTCCGATCCGTCCACGTCTTCCCTGGAATCCCACGAGATAAGAGGAACGACGGGCATCAGAATCGTGGGGACAGGGGAAGCAGAATCCGTGGAATAGCTCGCCGAAGCGTCGTTCTTAAGAAGCTTCCACCGAGGAACGAGTGGAAGGCCAGTCATAGCGAGACCAAACGCTCGGGGATAGGTCGGGAGCCGACTAGTGGCCAGTTTCCACTGGAGGTCGTACTCGCGACGGATGAAGGCAACGCTCCAGGTGAACCGTCGGTTCCGCGAACGTCGCCCTTGATCCAAAGGTCAGGTCGGCCACGTGCACAGCCGCGTACACGTTCACGATTATCGGTATCACGAGGATCGCGTCGAATTCCCCACCAACTACGGCCACATGACTTGACGATCGCCCCACCTACCGCTGTTCGTCGTTGAGTGAAGGCGGCGGCAGTGGCAGCTACGTCATATAGGGAACGACGAGCACGACGACGACGACGACGGCGGCGACGACGACAACCGACGACGACGACGACGAGGAGGACGTGGACGAGGAAAGAGGAACAGATAGCAGTAACAACGAGCACTGTGGAGGGCACTTAAACAGTGACACACGCCGCTGGTGATTCAGTTGGCGGCAGTCGGTCAGCAGGTGCGAAACGCGCTGCTGGATTTTGCCTTTTCTCATCCGGTTTCGAGCGTTTCGATAAGCTGGGTTTCGTTTCTTCTTTTTTTTTTGTTTTCGCGGGAATATCGTGGGTGGACGTGACGGTGCCGTTGTTTGTTGTCGTTGTTCTTGTTACCTTCGTCGCCTTCTCCGCCGGTCGCAGTGGTGGTTTTTGGTGGATAGTGGTGGATCACAGTGTCGAGTGTGAAACTGGAGCCGTTAGTGGTAGCTGCCGAGGGGAAGAGCTATCATGTGCCCGCAGAGGATTTTCGGACTGGCGATCGTCGCGCTGGTGACTTTAGGTGGACGAGTGACGGGGTACACGAATCAGTGGGCAGTGCATGTCGACGGGGGACCGGGGGTGGCCCAGCAGGTCGCACAGGAGCATGGGTTTCAATATCTTGATAAGGTAAGGGAATTTTTATTTTTCTTTTTTTTTTATTTTATATTAACCGATTTGTTTGGTTACAATTGGTTACAAATTAAAAGTCGATTCACTAATAAAGAATATATGCTTTCAAGCACAATTTATTCTTACAGTAAAAAAACTATAATTTCTGCTATATTGGAGCACAGTAAATTTGTTTGTTTATCTTTCAGTCTAATCTTGTTGACTTTTGTAGAATTTACCATCCTGTCGATATATTTATCTCCGTTACGAGATATGAAACAATTAGCATTTTTATCTAGTGCAAAATATTGATAAGAGTTAATTTATTGGTCGGATGTGATCAGTCTTGACTGATAAGGGAATTTAATTAAACTGTTACCTCTATCACTATGTTTGCGTTCCGATTGAAATTAAACCTCTTTTCACAACTCCAGACAATCGGAACACAAATACATGAAGATAACGATGAATCCAATTTCAACAGAGACTAAGGAATTCGTGCGTTCAAATGAAATATTTTTCAACTATTTTAGAGCATGAATCTTTTTACTCTTAATAGCACGAAAACGTACTTGACATATGATACATCGTCTCACAATGGGACTTCAGATGTCCTTTTGTCGAATATGACCAAATGGCCACTATTAGTTTTGTAACGAGCTGGTTCTTCTTTGTGTTACGTTATCGTTTCTTTCGCGAAATGTTCGATTCTCACCAACACTGAAAACTAATACACCTACACCATCAAGGACTTACGCCACATCAGTTTTCGCATTTGAGCATCACATACTCATCGAGCTCAATATTTAAGACTTTTTATTCGCAGATAAATGAAAACAACATATTGATAACCATATCAGAGAAAATGTCAAATGAGTCGTAAAAGTGACACAAACGGGTATCCTTAATCTTGAACTTCGCGAAGTCGCATGACGATTTTCTGAAAATTTTTTATCTTGAATTTACGAAGGATGCAATTGTTTTTTAACACAAATTTGCATATTTCGCGTCGCGTGTCACAGTCACCTGACAGCTGTTTATCGTCATAGCAAATTCATGGACAAATGTATGCAATGTGTACCGAGTGTACGTCAATAGTTGCGAACATTTTATATTCTACACGCATATAAATGCGTGCTGGAAGTCAACATTTCCGTGATGTTTAGTCATACATTGCTCATCGATAAGTTATCACTATATCCTGATCAAGCTACTGCGTTGTAGAACATCTGTTATCCGAACACTGTTAAACCAAACATTCGTCTACTCGGAAAACGTTAATTTATCATACTGAACGCCATTTTTACGTTCATTAGTTTGAATCAAGCCTGTAGAAACACCTGTTTCGGGTGTATCGTAATGAATCAACAGATTAGTTGTTAATGGGGATCAGTAGTCTCGTTTTTACAGCCTTTGTCGCGGATAATTTGCCTGACAGGAAAAGCACAGTGGCCCCTCTTCGGTTATCCTTCTACGGGAACGCAATTATGTAAAATGGGATACAATATACGCGAGACAAGTTAGTTAAGCGAACTCTTTGTACATGAAAGATCCGTCGTCGCAAGTGCACGAAAAATATTAATACACATCGGCAAAGTAGTTCCTTTTATAATATTAAAGACGATATTTGTTTACACACTAGGGTATATTAATCTCTCGACATGTAATTCTTCTGATTCTTTTTTTTTAATCATTTTTATTTATTCGTTCTTTCTTCTCCTTCATCTTTTTCTACCTTCACTCTATCTACACAAGTATATCTTTTTGCACCAATTAAAGATTTATATCTATACATAAATCTAGTCAGTCACCTTCCATCGATTAATCAAAACCAGTATTAGGTTATTAAAAAGAAAAACAGCCAAAAAGTTCATGCTTGAATTATGCGAAGAAAAAGTAAATACCAACGTTCTCCATGGAATCTTTGATTGACAACAAAATTGCTGTATCAACGCTTGCTAGCCTGATTTTTTCTGCGTTTGTCGCAACACGCGATTATTTCTGCCACACAAGCAATCGCACACGCGTTAAATCTATATTTTCGTTTCATCGTTTTGCGGCGTTCCAGTCCGCCTTATTCATATGCGGAGCTTATCGTTTTGAAATCGTACGACGAGCCGAGTCTTATTCCGCGTACAGATAAATTTCTTAGAGTGCAGGATCGGCCTTGATATTACAGCACCGAGAAACTTTTCGTGGTTTCGCTATCAAAGTGAGACATTTCTGAGAAGTGAGGCTCAATCATGTCAAGCTCATCCTTCCCTGCGACGTATAATATTTCCCGGCTAGACTCACATATGACGAGAGGAATATGTTCGTCGCTATTGCGGGGAGGAATAGTAATTTTCTCGGCCTACTTCGCGAGCTATGGCTTTGATTTTTTTGTTCTACGCAAATTTTCAATCGCTTTCTAACGTGATAATAATACTGTACGTGCACGTACTATGGATTTCTCGTTGCAATTATTTCTAAAGAGAGTATTTGACGAGCCGTTTCTATAGCAGATCAAAAATGGGCAAATTGTTTTGTTTATCAGTATCCTCGTGCTTTATTTTAACATTTTCTGCAGTATTTTCAAATGAAATTTGTGCTCGACTCCAAACTTCCTACGTTGAAAAAATATTTTACTATATAGCGTTTGTATTTGCAGCTTGCAATCATGAGATTCCCGACGTCAAAACGAGGGCATAGAGTTATCCCTGTATATTTAGTAAAAATCCTACCCTATTTCCAGGCAATTTATCTCGACGGGCGAACACGAGAAGTGGGTCATTTTTTAACTGTTTTTTCCGTTATTGACGCGACGAAACTGTCATTTACTCGAAATGAGATTTATCAATTCTTACAAACGTCGATGCTACATTCATTAATAAAATATTACATCCTCTTTTTCTTATTGAAGTCAATTCAAAAGGGATTTGTTTCTTTATTAAACTCAGGTACAAGCATTAAATGCAACATTATTTAAATGTTTGCAACCTAAACAGTTCAGATGTGACACAAAATTATCTTATCATTTATACATTAGGATGGTAATAGCTTTGATATAATAATGATAGTAACAATAATAATAATAACAATAATAACAATAATAATAATAATAATAATAATAATAATAATAATAATAATAATAATAATGAATATAATATACTCATTAAACTCATTACTACTTAGATGATAAAATGATTTTGCGATATACTCGAAGTTGATCACTCGAGGTTAAAACATCTATATATAATGCAGTATTTATTTTCCTGAACTTCCTATTTGCTCGCAAAATAAATTTCATTAGTAACTTTGAAAATATTGGCAAGCGGAGAATACTATTGTTTCAATTCCTTTTTTTTTTGGTCTGTTGAAAATTACACGTATTCGACGAATCACATTGACATAAGTCTTTAGCGTGCTTTTAGCCACCAGCAATGAATTTTGTTCCAACTACGTGCTTCGCATCACTGTCAAGACCGGAAATTAACCTTCGAACGAATCTCCTTTCTGCCTAAATAGTTTTCGTCGCGACTCGCCCCTATCTTCGCTTTCCACGTCAGTACTCGGTCGATCGCGAAACCTGAATGAAACACAATCTAGCGAAATGAAACTTCCAGTGAAACGAAGTTTCAACAGCCATTTGAATCCTTCGAACCAGTCCTGTCGAGAGTTGTTCTTCGGAGTGAAGCAGTTTACCCTCCGTCTACGTTTTCGTGATAAGCAAACGTTACAGACTGGTCGAAATCAATTGGCCACCATGTGTCGGGTCGTTTCATTAACAATACAAGCGCCCCTTTTGTTCGGAAAAGGTAACTAGAGTAATTTACAATCGTTATAATATTTTTTTTTTTCATTTTCTATGATCGTCTTCCATCTCTTTATTATACTTTCCCAATTCTTCCTTAATGAAGATTTATCGACTTCGATAAAAAGAACTCATTCAGTCAACATTCATCAACAAACGAGTTAGTTTTGCAAACTCGTGAATGTAAAACATATCTAAATTTGAAAATATGTATATCGATGAATCTAAATATTTGAACAGATTCAATATAAGAATAAAATATAAAAAAAAAAACTTGATACTCTTTTATTCAATTTCAAATTACATATGCTGGATTCATATTTTTGCAAAAACTTAAACCCTTCGCACAGACGAGAAGCTATTATAGAAAATGAAAAAAAAAGTACTCGTGACGTAAGAACCTTCTTAAACAGGGAAAAATATTCCTAACCGTATGCTTATCATGAAACGTGTACGTGTTAACTGATAGCGTTAATTGTGTGTGAACATAACTTGCCTAGACCAGGTGGTAATTCAATTACAAACAAAACGAATAAATTTCTGTATTTATCTTGGTAGTTAAAGGCATTGTGAATGTACACTATACTGAGGTCAATGAACGTTTCAAACACCCACGATTTGGAATTCGACGTAGCACTTACATGTACTTTTTGTTGAAAAAGATCTGTTTGCAGAGACCTATTAAGATAAGAGAAATATGTGGAATATCTTTTAGGAAAATAATTCATACATAGTATATTGTGCACATGATAATGATTCCTATAGCAATACATAGTTATACAGCATTCACGTAAAAGGAATTCATATTATTGGTGATGAACCGATTTCCTTTTCGTTGCTTCGGAGCCAATGGATTTCCTCTAAGTTTCATTAAATTATTTTGCTGACCACCGATACTGGCGCAAATGTAATTTCGCCCATGGTTACTCGCGTGTCAATTTCGGTATGTTCCAATGACTCACGCGATAGAATGTATTTACTTATTTTTGCTAATACGACCATACACACCGCGTAGGCTAACTCTGCGCGTTCGCAGTTTGTTCGTTCACTTCGTATACGACCACGGTTGTCAGGAGCAATTTGCGTCACCTTAAATATCCAGCAGGTGGTTCATTTCGAGTCGGATTTCGCATTGAAAAAAAAGCGGTGCGAAATTCTGGACAAACTGAAACTGGAAGGATAAATTAAAACACCGTCGCGAGGAAATTGTGTTAATTTCTTTAAT